CCCTCTTAATTGTTTGTTTAGAGTGTTTTGTGGTTTGGAGGTGTTTAACCCCTCTTAGACCTTGAAAGGCCCCATTTTGTGCTATTTTGAGTGAGTTTTGAGACTTTGGTGTTTGGGCCTCTTCACCACTGAAATCTTGAGGGATTTCAGTGGTGGAGATGGTGCCTTGAAGTCTCCAAAACGGGAGGGCCACCCCCTCTCCTTGTTGTCCTTGAAACGAACCCTTTTTAGCCTCTTGAGAGAGCATCATGTTAGAGCATGTATTGATCATATCTTGGCTGTTTTCCATGCTTATTATGCCATGATATAACCTTGTTGTGTGTTGGTTTTGGTACACCATGCATGCTTAGCATACCTACCATGTAATGCCATGTTATTGCCTTAATATGCCTTAGGTTGTTAGCCTTTGTTCGAGCATGTTTTAGGTCTAGTTTTGTGAAGCTTGTGTGCTTATTTTGCCATGCTAGAGGTCTGTCCATAGTTGTTTGGGTCGGATTTGGCATGCTTAGTATAGCTCCTTTGCATTCCGGCTTGTTGGCCTTAAGTGTATGAATGTATAGCATGACATTCTTGTATTGATTTAGTGGTTTGGGACTATCCACCATGTTATTTCAGTTCTCTTATCATGCTCATATGCTTGCATTTCATGACCCTTTTGATGTTTCAAGAATTGATGTTTCATGCTTCATGTTCATGCCATTGTGTATGCCTCTAAGATTAGGTCATTTGGATGCTATCTAAATGGTTCTTAAGGCTTACTTTTGCATGATTTGGGGCTGTTTTGATTCAATTTGGTCATTTGCTTCATGAGTCATATGGTCATGTTTTAGGTCATTAGGTTTGGATGCATGCATAGCTTGCATTGGTAGGTTAATTTGGCATCATTTCCTACATGTTTTCAAGGCTTATAATGCATGTCATATGTCCATGATCATTCCTTTCTAAGTGTGCTTAGAAGTAGCCTTTTGATACTTAAGCATTTAGGCCTTCAACATGTGCATGTGTGTATGTGTTTAGTCCTTTGTTTTGGTCACTTTGGCCACTATTTTAGGCCTATTTAGAGTTGCCTAAATCATGTGTAAGTACACCTTTCCATCAATTTGCATTGCCTCATGTTTGCTTGAGGCTTGATAAGTGTCTTGCCATGCCATGTTATCCTTAGCTTGTATGCCTAGGTTGCATTGCATCTTGCATGCATGCCTTATTCCTTGACTTGGTGATAGGAATTGGGCCTTGTTTCATTTGTTTGGTTTACATTTCATTTGACATGAAAGTTGCACACTTGGTTCTTTGGCCATCATGCATGGAAATGCGTGATTGGTGGTCCGAGAATCGAGACACATGTCCTTTTGAGTTACAAACATGATAGGGGCATGATTGGTGCATACATTGTTTGAATTGTATTGCCATGCAAGTTCTGTCCTCTGTTGCTGTGAGTTGCAGGTTCTGCAGGCATTCTTTGCCGACCGGCAGTGTACATTGCCGACCGGCAATTATTATCCAGCCGATAGCTTCATTTTGTGCCGGTGACCACATGCCACTGCCGGTGGCAATTCTATTCAGCCGGTGGTGATCTCCAGTATCCAGAGGAGCATCTTTGAGACTTTGGCAGTCTTCAGAGGGGCAGAGCAGGAAAACAGAGGCAGACTATGCATGGCGGTGCACTTCCGAGCAAGACCCGAGCACGCGCTGCATTTGGCCCTCCTCCCGAGGCAATTTACTGCTTTGCTTAACTTAATTAGTTTGTTAGCTGATTAAGAAATTTGTAATATTTAATTAGCTTGCGTAGTTAATTAATTGTATTATTTATTTGGTCCCTCCGCGCAGGGCAAATCTGTAATAAGCGTGATGAGTGGGGTGTATGTCTTCCAATCCCCACTCTTTCTTCTCTTTTATTTACCTTCTTACGATGGTAGACTAGGGCATATTTAAAGATTAGCATACCTTATGCAATGCATGCGTGCATTCATACATTTGCTTTGCATGCACCGGGCTCGGCGCATCATTCTAACTACATCTGTATTTCAAATTCCGGATTGAATACATGTTAGTTGTGCATCTTCACATGTCATTCATAGACTAGCTGAGCCTACTCTAGTGACATTTTGTATGCGATGCATTAGGCACTTAACATGGACTTGGATTATGCATTGATTGCTAACATGTTCCTGTTTTGGCACGGAGTACGATGTAAGTATTTATGCTTTAGCATCTCGCATGCGTGTGAATGTTAACCTGATAGCATGTTTGCCATGTGGCTAATGCTTATATGAGATAAACCGTTTGAATGCCCGTGGGTGATTGGATTGTTTGAGTTGGAAAAACTCGTTGAAATCCGTGTTTTAGCCTACTTACGAGTAGCAAATTCTAAAGCGCTTTTCAAAACAAACGGATATGCAATGTTTCTTTCCAAATTAGGCAATCTAGTCTATACTTGTTTTGCTGTGCGCATAACATAGTAATTCTAGGCTAACAATTGGGGTAAGAACACATAAAGTTTTCAAAAACGGATATCACGGTTAGTAGAGGCCGATCTTCGGATCGGGCGAGAGGGGGTGCTCATAGCTGACCTTCCCCAATCGTACCCTAGCTCCCGAGCCGAGGCAACTCTGGTGATGATGGACATGTGGCCTTCGGCACCGAGTCAGGGTTTCCTAAATTCCCCCATAAAAAATATTTAGGTGGCGACTCTGTATCTGGCAAAGCAGTCCATGTTTGGCACTTCTTTCCTAAAATCTGTTTTCTCAAAACGATTTGCCAGATTTGGACTCTTTGGTTCAGATTTAGAACTGTGACACAAATCGAGTCCGAACTGTAGCGGGGTCCCTCGCGGGGCGTGTCTACAGCAACTACTTCCATTCTTCTTCCGGCGAAGCTTTTGCTGATCCTTTCCGATCGCTGCCATCATTTGACCCCGGCGACCCTTACACCGGCTTCATTTTCTTCGGTGAGTTACTTTTTCCTCTTTATTTTAGTTTCATACTTTGTTGCTTCTGCTTATTAGTCATGTTTGAATATATTCATATGCTCTCATTCCTGTCTGTGTTTCGAATTTCCCCCTTTGTATGCCTAAAACATGCTCTGTTCTACCTATTTATGGGTATACACACGTACTCACACACCTTGCTCACGTTTGCCACTGTTCTTGGCATCACACCCTTGTACACACAGTGCTCTTGATAGTTCATCACTTTTCTTGATTTTGAATCAAATTCTTGTTTCTGTTTTCTGTGTTTTTTCTAGATTCTTGCCTTCAATCTTTGTCTACCTAGACTTCAGTTTGGGATTTGTTTGTAGAACTCACAAACTTTAGGAAAAACTGAAACAAACTTCACCTCAAAAATTCTTGCTCCAGCATTCTTCTAGGTTTTAGCCGAGGTCTTTCAAACCTTCACAAAACACTTCCTTCTGAAACCCATCACCTTCCCTCAAGCCGACATCATGGGTATGTGAAGGTATAGGGTAGACACCCCAACTAAGTTAGAGTATTTCAAGCAGGAGTTTGACATTCCGGCCGACGTCCATCTCAGGTTGGCTGGGGAGGATGACTCTATCATGCCCACAGTCGGCTCCATGCCCTTTCCAGTTGTAGCTTTCATAGAGTGTGGGCTTAGGCTCCCTCTCAACATCCTTTTCCGAGAAATCCTCCACTATTATAAACTCAACCCAATGCAATTAGCCATTAACTCTTACAAAGTCATTAATGGTATCATAGCCTTAGCTAGTTGAGAAAACACTAGGGTAACCTTAGCGACATCCAATACTGCTACACCATGTGTGGCCTCAAGTTAGAAAAGGGCTATGTCTACTACCTCAAACCGAGGTCCACAGAATACAAACTTATTGCCGACCTCCCAAACTTCAACAAGGGAGTCGGGGACGATTACATCATTGTCTCGGGCAACTGGGAGTTCGCTCCAGATGAGGACCTTCACCTCTACCCTCTTAGCCAAACAGTATTCATAGAGGGTAATGGTAAGAGCCAAGCGTTATTTTTACTTGTTTTTTAAGCCTTCAATACTTTGCTCTTTCTATATGTTCTAACGTCTGTTTTTCTTGCAGCTCTTCTACAGCTGCCAAAAGACTTTTGTAAGTCCTTCTTCCCCAGCAAGGGCTTCAAGAAGCTGTTGGATCTGCCAGTTCAGAGGTGGAAAGCTCCCTTATTGCTCAACTACATCCCAACCTATAAATCCGTTTTTCCCAACGTCCCGAGGAAGAAAAGCAAATCTCCTCCTTCCGCCACAACTCCACCAACAACTTCATCATCTCGGCTAGACCAGGGATCAACCTCTGATCTGGTAGAGCAGCCATCAACCTTAGCTCCACAACTTATCCCTCATTCCCAACGTAAACGCCGACGTCGAACTACAATCGCCGTTGAGATGGGTCGCAAGAAAGCAGTTGCAGACGATCTTTTGGCCGACATCCCAGATGTTGATACCGCACAACCTTCTCTACCCCAGTCTCAACCAAAGCCAAAGCCCAAAAGATTGAAGAAGGCTCAGCCTAAGGCAACGGTGACTCAAATTGACACTGCTGATACCTTGCCAATTTCAAAATTGGCCGAGAGCGAGAAGACCCCGTCCGCTGCCGAGAAGAGGTCCGCCTAGGCTGAAGCATCCCAATCAACTCAGTCGAAGAGGCCGAGGTCCGAGTCAGCCATAACCTTGGGGACCATGAAATTAGATGCCCCCTAGGCTCCCCCAATCACCATCGAGGGCAAGCCGGTCAAAGCTGGCGACAGCGCTGATGACTTCGAAGTTAGCGTTGCCCTCTCTACCACCCTATTCTTTCACAGAGATCTCGAGCGAAACGCTGAGGTGAGCAAGTACTAAAACTTTGCTTTAACGTTGCAGCATTCCGTGCAAGTAAGTCCCTTCACTTGGTATTTTTCTTTTTCTGTTTTTTCATACTTAGAAAATCTTTTACTAACTTTTGTTCTGTCCATCTTCTCCCAGGCGATCCAGTACACCCACTCCTTTGCGTGACAGGCTTTTGACATGAAGAAGGAGTTGGTTAGCAAGACAAAGGAGGCTGCCAATTTGCAGAAGACCATCAACAAGGCTAAAGTCGAGATGAAGAATTTCATAGAACAGGCCAAGGTAGCTAAAAAAGCTCAAGACGAGGCCGAGGAGAGGCCTGGTGCTGCCGAGGCAATTGCTAAAGTCCTCGAGGCCGAGGCAAAGACTGCCGAAGCCCAGGCCGAGCTTGTTGTTGCCTTGGCCACAAAAGAGGCCGAGATCAAAGCAGCGGATGAGAAGGCATACGCCGAGGGGATGGCCGATGTCAAGGAGGACTACAAAAAGCAAGTGAAGAAGGCATGCAACAAGGGTTTCACCCTTGGTTTGATGGCCGCTCTGAAAAACTTGGACGTCCCCGAGGACTCCCCCCTCCAAAATGCCAACGACCTCGTCCTGCCATTCCCTCCTACTCCAAGCCAACCGAGGACGAGGCTGTGTCCGAGGAGGAAGCTGAGGCCGAGAATAAAGAAGAGGCTGCTGGGGCCAAGTCCCTAACTCATCCTGAGCAAGTCGACTTGACTCAGGATGAGGAGGATGAGGTCTCCAAAGATGCCAGCCCAGAGAAGACAACATCCAACATGCCTATCGCCGATAAGAGCATCGACCAGACTCTTCAAGAGATCGATGTCGAGCTTGTGGCTGAGAAGGCTACCGAGGAGAATTCGCAAAAGTCTTCCGAGCCCCAAACTAATGTTGATGCCGAACAATCTAGTCCTTGATGTTTTTCTTCTGTACTTAGCACTTTTTTACTTTTTGAAACAATGTAAGCTCTTTATCTGGCCGATGTGCCTTCTTTTTGTAATTCGTACAAGTAGTCTTTTTGTAGGCCGAAGTGCAATAACTTTGAATGTAAATACAACTTCCTCTTTTAAATTCTTCCATGTTTGTCTTCTTTACATGACTCTATACTTAGAATAATTTGGATGTCTTCAACATACACTTTCACCCTGCAATGTCCTCGGGGTGAAACACCTCAGATATATCTTCTGACTGTTTATCTTGGCCTTGACTTAACACTTGAAAATATTTTTTAATATTTTCACAAGTGTTAGTTATAGCTTGCCATTTTACTTTTACTTACTAGGACCTCTGTCTTTTATTATCTTCCATGTCATAGTAATCAAGGCGAGCATGTATATACTTCTTTCAAAGCAACCCTAGCTTGATTTAACGCTTTGTAATTTCCTCATAAAATATTTCAACAAGTGTTAAACCAATCTTCTTTCAGTATAACCTCGGTTTAACCTCAACTTGTAAATTTTTCTTAAAATTTCAACAAGTGTTAAACCAATCTTCCTTTGTAAATTCTTGGAATACTTTCAAGTACCATTTTCCAACTCTCTGCTCCCTAATGTGAACCTAAGTTCCACTTGGGTTCTCATTAAGCATGTGGCTTTTGAATTTGTTGCCAAGGTCAGATTCAAACAAAGACTCGCCGAGGTTACCAACCTTGGTCTCTTTGTTAATCTGACTGGTATGTACTGAGTTCCAGTTTGTGTTTGACTCTGCCGATATGGCAAGTCCAAGTTATTTCAACTTAGTTCAACTCTATTATATGCAAGTAGGAACTCTGCCATATAATAAATCTAAGTTATTCGTCATGTTTCAATCAGAAACATCGCAAACTTAGTTCAACTCTATTATATGCAAGTAGAAATTCTGCCATATAATAAGTCTAAGTTATTCGTCATGTTTCAATTAGAAACATCGCTAACTTAGTTCAACTCTATTATATGTAAGTAGAAACTCTGCCATATAATAAGTCTAAGTTATTCGTCATGTTTCAATCAGAAACATCATCAAGTATCTGGTCAGTCATACTGCACAAGTTTTAAAAATCAAGCTAAGACTTTATTATTACTTCGGCTAATAACAAAAAACTTTAAAAACAAGAAAATCTAATGATAGAAAAACTTCAGATTACAAGTATTCTAGGGTCTTGGCAACTTTTTGCCTTCACTGTCCTCAAGTCGATATGCCCCATTGCCCAGGACCGAGATGATTCTATAAAGTCCTTCCCAGTTTGGGCCAAACTTGCCATCTCTGGGATCCTTCTTGTTGCTAACGAACTTTCTCAAAACGAGGTCCCCAACTTGAAACTCTCATGGGTTGACCTTTTTGTTTTAAGCCTTAGTAAGCTGCTGCCGATATGCCCCTAGTTGGATTGCTGCTTTCTCCCTTCTTTCCTCTAATAAGTCCAGATCTCAGGCTAAGAATGCATCATTAGTCCCATTCTCCACTCCCTGGGTTTTGATCCTCGGGATGCCGACTTCCAATGGAATTACTGCTTCTGTGCCATAAGCCATGGCAAATGGGGATTCTCCAGTTGATCTTCTTGGCGTAGTCCGATATGCCCAAAGTACACTGGGCATCTCATCTACCTATTTTCCCTTTGCTGATTACAGCCTCTTCTTTATTCCATCCAATATAGTTTTGTTGGATGCTTCTGCTTGTCCATTGCTTTGAGGGAAGCTTGGAGTGAAATAGTAATTCTTGATCTTGTACTTTGCATAGAAGCTCTTGATTAGCTTACTGTCAAACTGCGTTCCATTGTCTGTTATGATTGCTCTTGGGATCCCAAATCTGGTGATGATGTTCTTCCATATGAAGTTCCTCACATCAATATCCCGGATTTTTGCAAGGGGTTCAGCTTCTACCCACTTGGTGAAGTAGTCTGTTGCCACTAGCAGGTACTTCCTTTGTCTAGTTGCTTGAGGCAATTTTCCAACAAATCCATGCCCCATTGGGCAAATGGCTAAGGGCTAGACATTGGGTTCAAATCTACTGTTGGTTGGTGTATCAATGGTGAAAACCTCTGACACTTCTCATATTTTTTGACATAGGCTTCAACATCCTTCTGCATGTAGGGCCACCAGTACCCCTGAGTAATAGCCCTATGAGCAAGTAATCTACCCCCAGTGTAGCTTCTACATACTCCTTCATGTATCTCATACAAGAAGTCTTCAACTTGTGATGGATGTACACGCCTTAAAAGGGGACCAGTGAAAGATCTTCTGTAGAGATGCCCCTCTGTTGTTAGACTGAATCTTGCCGACTTCCGTCTGATCTTGTGCGCCTCTTTGTGATCATCTGGTAGTTTCCCATCTCTAAGGAATACTCTTATCGCATCCATCCAACTTGGTCCCATGTCCATACACATTGCTTCATGTTCTGTGTTTAGTGGCTCTACACTTGGGCCTGACAAGTATTCAACCAATATTGTCCTTGTCTCTCCAGGTTTCATTGCACTAGTCAGGTTGGCTAAAGCATCAACATGGTTGTTGTCATCTCGGCTTACTTGTTGTAGTCGGCAATTCTGGAACAAGGCTACTTGTCTGCTCACCTCACTTACACAGGGCGACATCCTATTGTAGACGCGCCCGAACGCCCCGAGAGGGTGAGTCCCGTTCTGTTCATATGGGGCTCACTACAGTTCGGACTCTCGAATTGTCACGGTTCTTAATCTGAACCAAAGAGTCCAAATCCGGCAAATTGTTTTGAGAAAAATAGATTTTTAGAAAAGAAGTGCCACACATGGACTACTTTGCCAGATACAGAGTCGCCATCTAAATATTTTATTTTGGGAAATTTAGGAAACCCTGACTCGGTGCCAAAGGCCACGTGTCCGTCATCACCAAAGTTGCCTCAGCTCGGGAACTTGGGTACGATTGGGGAAGGTCAGCTATGAGCACCCCCTCTCGCCCGATCAAAGATCGGCCTCTACTAACCGTGATATCTTGTTTTGAAAGCATTATGTGTTTCTATTCCGGTTATTAGCCTAGAATTACTAGGTTATGCGCACAGCAAATAAGTATAGACCAAATCGCCTAAATTGGAACAAAACATTTCATATCCATTTGTTTGAAAAATAGTTTGAAATTTGCTACTCGCAAGTAGGCTAAAGCACGGATTTCAACGAGTTGTTCCAACTCAAACAATCCAACCTTCACCCACAGGCATTCAAGCAGCTATATCACATAAGTAAGTAGCCTCATGGTAATTATGCTGTCATGTTAACATTCACACTCATGCGAGATGCTAAAGCATAAAAATACTTACAATGTACTCTGAGCCAAGACAAGAACATGTTAGCAATCAATGCATGATCCAAGTCCATGTTCAGTGGCTAATGCAACGCATACAGAATGCAGTCTAGAATAGGCTCGGCTAATCTAAGGATGACATGTGAAAATGCACAGATAGCATGTATTTAGATTTGAAATACTTTATGCAGTTAGCATGATGCGCTGAGCCTGGTGCATGCAAGACTAATGAATGATGCACGCATGCATAGCATAAGGTATGCTAAAGTAAACATGTCCTAATACTAACCATCAAAAGCAGGTAAGTAAAAGGGAGAAAGAGGTGGGGGTTGGAAGACATGCACACACGCACCCACACTTATTACAAATTTACCCTCGCTCGGAGGGACCGAAAGAATAATACAAATTAATTAACCTACAAGCTAATTAAATATTACAGACCAATTAATTAATTAACAAATTAACTAATCTAATGAAAGCAGTAAACAGCCTCGAGAAGAGGGCCCAATGCAATGCGCGCTCAGCTCCGCTCGGAAAGCCACTGCCATGCACAAGTTGCCTCTGCTTTGACTGTTATCTTTCTCTGAAGACTGCATAAATCTCAAAGTTGCTTCCCTGAATGCTGTGGAACACCACCAGCTGAGGGAGTTGGTCACCGGCCATGGAGAATGGTCACCGGCCACAAATTAATCCATCGGCCACTTATGGATGGCCGGTCGGCACTGCAGATGGCTGGCCGGCCAAATCTTCCTGCAGAATCTGTTTTTGACAGCAGCAGAGGGCAAAACATAGCATGGCAATGCATTTCAAGCAATGTATGCACCAATCACACCCCTTATCATATTCATGACTCAAAGGGATATGATTCTCGATTCTCGGACCACCAATCGCGCATTTCCATGCATGATGGCCCAAGGAACCAAGTATGCATTTTGATATGGAATGCAATGCACATAATCAAGCAAAGGGGGCTCAACCTCTATCATACTTAACTCAAGAGGTGAAGCATGCATGCCAATGCAATGCATCCTAGGTATGGAGGCTAGTATGCAACATGGCAATGCAATGTGTAATGTAGGTTAGGCACACAACCTAAGTAAAGAAGCATGTAAGGCATGAAGGAATGCAACCTACAAGTATGCAAGACACAATATGGATGTTCAAGCATGCAAGCAAGCATGTGACTTCATTCAATCATGCAACAACACACTAGTATGCAACAACACACAAGGTGAGCATGCAACAACATGCAAAGGGGTGGACTTAAACTAATTTAGGCAGCCCCCAAACAAGCCTAAAACAGTGGCCAATGCAATGGAAATGAGGGCCTACACACACACACATGTGTACATGTTGATGGGCCAACACTTAAGTATCAAACAAGCAATCTTTAAGCACACTTAAGAGATCTTAAACACGAACAATTAGCATGCAATGTAAACTCTCGAAATCATGTTAATAATGGTGCCAAACCAATTTGACAAACATGGCATGCAATTGGTCCAAGTATTTGAGGCAAGTCAAGGAGACTTAAACCATGGCTAAGTCAACCTAGCCTCTCAAGGCCAAGAGGACTGAAAACATGCAAGCATACAAAGAAGCACATTCATGGAGCATGAGGCAACAACCTTTTAAAGCAACAAAGGAGTATCAAATGCAAGTATGCAAGCATGTTA